TTGATCTGTTTATGTATGTTTTTTTTTTTTTTAAACTATATTATGATTATTTCTATTTTAATATTCGTTATTCTTGTTTTCATTAATTATTTTCCTTGTTTTTCATTATAATAGTTGCTATATGTCATTGTTTACTTTTACGTTTTATCAGTTGTAACTGTTTGTAACTGTCTAACTTTGTTTATGTAGCTATTGTATTTATAAAGACAAGTGACTTATATATAATTATTATTATTGTTATCATTATTATTAATATTATTTTTATTATTTAAACCATTATTATTTTAATCATTTTCATTAGGTGTTTACTTAATATTAGTATATTTACTATTTGTAAACAACCTTGAAATGTATCTATTTCAGAAATATATATTGATTGATTGATTGAATGATTAATTAGTACCCCTAACCAAACTATTGTTTTGAAAGATATCAAATATACATTCCTAATTATGTCGGATAATCCAGAACCCGAATCTTCTTCTGTTACAAAATCCACAAAACGTTCACAATCAATTGTATGGGATCATTTCACAGTTGATGAGCATAACAAAACCAAGGCCATATGCCAGCATTGTCCAAAGCACAAGAACAAGTATGCTTACAATAAAGGTGGGACAACAAATCTAATGAACCATTTAAATTCTCAACACAAAAGCAAATTACTTGGGGACAGAGAACCAAAGCAACGACGTTTAGATGACATGATAATGACACCAATCGTTTATTCTCCAGATCTATTCAATGAATACTTAGTTAGCTGGATTGTCAAGAATGATCAATTATTTAATAAGGTAGCGTCCAGCCACTTTCGTAAACTACTCACTCTACTGAAACCAAATTTGTCAATCATGAGTGCGCGCCTATTAAAACGCCAGATAATGGACACTTACAACACCAAAAAACAATTGCTAAAGACCCTTTTTTTGAATCTTGACTCAAAGGTTTCATTCACCACTGACTGTTGGACATCACCCAACAACATTGCTTTTATGGGCATAACGGCTCATTACATTGACAAAGACTGGAACCTACATGCCAAAACTCTTGATTTCAAATCCTTGCCTGATTCCCATTCAGGTTCAAATTTATCTAATGCATTCTTGTCAGTTTTGATTGAATTCGGTCTTACAAGCAAAGGAATGGGCATTACCTTAGATAATGCTTCCAATAATAATTCATTTATGGATTTTTTAAATTCCAAGTACGAAATTAAAACCACCTTTGAGCATATCCGGTGTTTTGCTCATGTGCTGAATTTGGGCGCGCAAGCAGGTTTGGATGTTTTGAAAGATGATCTTGTAAAACTTAAAACAGGAATTAAAAAAATCCGATCCAGTCCTCAATCATTTTCTAGGTTCAAAGGTTTCCAGCAATCAAATTGCACCTTAAAACCAATACTTGATGTCCCTACAAGATGGAACTCAACAGCTGATATGCTTAAACGACCAATGAAATTAAAAGTTGGTTTCATTGCGTATTTTTGCGATTTTGACTCAACTGCAAACAATCCAGACTGTTGTCTATCAATTTCACCAGATGTTTGGAACAGGTTTGAAACAATTGTTTTGTATCTTGAACCATTCCAGGAATTTACCCAGCTCATTAGTGGTGATTCATATTCCACATTGTCTTTGGTGGTTCCTCTCTTCAATATTCTTTTGGATCACATTACTGAATGGATGACCACAAAAACCAACCCTGAAGATAATCTACACCGCTCTACAGTTGCAGCGTTCGCAAAAATTTCAAGATATTATAATTTGACTAGTGACTGCTTTACTATCTGCACTGTCCTGGACCCAAAATTTGGTATTGAATATTACAAAAATGATAAGGGCGCAAACAGCGAGTCGAATACAAAGATTATGGACACAGTCAATTGTGAATATCAAATCAATTATGCCCCAAGCAATATTACAACTGCTACAAGCATTCAAAACGTTTCAAAATATACCCCGTTCAAATCGCGTGTTTCATCAAACCCATGTAATGAGTTTGAAAACTATTGTAATGATACAAGTAAGCTAGATGGCGGCAATAATAGCAACATATTACTTTGGTGGAAATCTCGATCTGACAAATATCCAAACCTATCCAGAATGGCCAGAGATTACCTGGCCATTCCTGCTACATCTGTATCATCAGAAAGGCTCTTCTCATTAGGAAAAAATCTTATTACTGACAAAAGAAATCTTCTCTCTGCAGATACCATTCAAGCTTGCCAGTGCTTGAAGTCTTGGTTGGATTAAAAAGAATAAAAGAAGCTGTAATGTGTGAGAAATAGTAACAAATGCTGCAATATGAATAAAATTTATAGATTCAGATAACTAAAATTAATAAATGAAATAAGTTAAATAACGTTCAAATATACATCAAATCTTGAAAAGATTTGAATTTGATCTAAATTCAAAATAGGAAGATTTGAATTTGGCCATTTCAAACATTTGACGCATATTTGATCAAACTATTTGAATTTGTGCCGAACACTAAAAGCAAGTGGCTTCGATGATATAAATGGTAATGTAATAAAAAATTCATACAAGGTTATAAAAGACGTGCTTTTTAAAATTTTTTCACTTTTAATCAGACAAGGAATTTTTCCTGATCAATTTGAAATTGCAAAAATCACACCGATATTCAAAGGAGGAGACTTAACAAATATCAAAAACTATCGCCCTATCTCTGTTCTTCCAGTCTTTTTTAAAGTCTTAGAAAGAATTATTTATAACAAAATTTACACTTATTTAACTAACAACAATTTGTTATTTAACCACCAGTATGGATTCAAAAAAAACAACTCTACAGAACATGCGATTCTCCAGCTAACACGTAGTATCACAGAATCTTTCGAGAAATCTTTAGGCATATACTTTAGGCATCTTCATCGAGCTATAAAAAGCCTTAGATACAATAGATCATAAAATTCTTTTTAAAAAACTCAAAATTTACGGAATAACTGGAAATGTTTTGAAGTGGATAAAAAGTTATTTAAGTAATCGCAAACAATTTGTAACCGTTGATGCTTCTTCTTCAATAAGTTTGTTAGAAATTACTTGTGGTGTTCCTCAAGGATGTATTCTCGGACCTCTTCTTTCTTATATATATTAACAATCTCTATAAAGTATCCAGATTAAAAACAATCATGTTTGCAGACGATACAAACTTATTCTTATCTCATACTAACATCACTACACTGTTTCAAGTAATGAATGTAGAATTTAACAAGATTTCTTACTGGTTTAAATTAAATATATTATCGCTTAATATTAAAAAAACAAACTGGACTCTCTTTCACCCGCCCTCTAAGAAAAAACTACTGCCTTATGAAATGCCATCCCTTTTTATTGATAACATCGAAATAATTAGAGTAAACGTTACAAAATTCTTAGGTGTTTATATTGATGATAATCTTTTATGGAAAAATCATATTGAAAATTTATATAACAAAACTTCAAAAAGTTTAAGAATTTTATATAATGCAAGAAACTTTTTAAATAAAATTTTTTTAACTCAATTATATTTTTCTTTTATTCATAGCCATATAAATTATGCAAACATTGCATGGGCTTGCACCAATAAAAGCAAACTTGAACCTCTTTATCGTCATCAGAAGCATGCAGCACGTTTGATACATTTTAGTGAACGTCTTACTCATGCAAAGCCTCTATTAAAAAAAATGAACGCCTTAAATGTATATCAACTCTAAATGTATATCAACATCTAGTAACTGTATCTGTATCAACATCTAGTAATTGTTTATCAACATCAGTAACTCTTAAATGTATATCAACATGTTTATAATACTCTTTGTTTTATGTTCAAATTAGGCCCGTGCGGTAGATTTTCTCATTATGAGGCAAATCTTCGAAATGCCCCTTAAATGTTTTTCTTTAAAATAACCTTCGATTGTGATTTAGAAAAAAACTGCACAAAATGTACGAATTCTACTTTTTATTTTGAAATTTTAAAATAATGATTTCAACTATAAACTACAACAATGTACAGTATTACAGCTTTACTCTTCTAACTTTAACTTTAGCAAATTTGTTAATTACTGATGTGTAGTCTAGAGTGCTAGCCATTGCAGATTCAATAGAAATTAATGCCAGATTTTTAAGTTTTGTTTGTCCTATTGAACTTCTTAAGTAGTTTTTAATTAATTTTAATTTGGAGAAACTTCTTTCCCCACTAGCTACAGATACAGGAAGAGTTAATAAAATTCTCAGAGCTACAACAGTATTTGGATACAAACTAATTAATCTATTTTGGCACAAATAATTTAAAACATCAAAAGGTTTTGTAGAATATGGTAGCATTCTGGATACATCACGCAATTCTTCTCTCAGGTCATTTGCATTTATATCTGTTTCATTTTCAACCGAAAGTATAAACTCAAGACTTCTATTATCAGAATCAATGCATCATAGATTTTGCAAAGTTGAAATCGTAAAGGTTTTAAAGCATCTATTCTGCTTGCCCACCTAATAGCACTTAATGGTTTCAGAGTTAATTGAGAAACATATTTTTTTAGCACTTCCCGACGCTTTGTAGAACCAGAAAAAAAAGTGTAAAGTTCTAGTACAATAGAAAAAAAAAATGTTGTTTCTGTAGTAGAAGACGCTGCATCATTCACAACAAGGTTTAAAGAATGGCATGCGCAGGGCACATAAAAAGCCCTTGGATATTTTTCAAGTATTCTATTTTGAACACCCTTTCTTACTCCTTTCATATTGGCTCCGTTGTCATAGCCTTGTCCCCTAAGCCACTTTAACTCAAAACCTAATTTTTCCAAATGTGTCAGAATAAGTTTTGCCAAACCTTCTCCGGTTGAATCACTAGCTTCAAAAAAACCAATAATGAATTCTGCAATTTCATATTTATTTTGAATGGAGTTAAAAGTAACAACTCTTATTGTTAAGGAGAGCTGTTCATAATGACTGACGTCGGGGGTACAATCAGCGATTATAGAAAAATGTTTAGCGATTTTTGTTATTTCGACAATTTTTCTTAAAATTGAATTTCCCATTAAATTTATCAATTCATCTTGTATATTATTGCTTAGATAAGTCACTGACCATTTATCAGACTCTCGTTGACCTCTCCTGATATGTTCTTCCATAACTAGATCGAACTCAGAAAGTAATTCTACCAACTTTAGGAAGTTCCCGTTATTAGGTTGAAACAAATGTTCAGTTGATCCACGAAAAGCTAAACATTGTGAGGCCAATAGTTTAATTATTGGCATAATTCTTTTTATAACTCCTCTCCAATGCTGAAGTTCCATATCCATAATTCGTTGATATTCAGCGTCAATAGTTTTTTTCTGCTTCAATCGAATTTCCAATTCTTTCCATGCTCTTAAAGCATTTCTGTGATTTACAGACTTTTCGTGCATTGTGAGGGCTCTTATAGGATTTTTCCAGTCAGAATAGCCTTTTTTGGGCCAGTCACTAATATCAGACGAATTATCAAATAATATACAACAAAAGCAAAAAACGGCATCACTTGCAATAGAGTACATAAGCCAACTTCTCTCAACGACTTCACCATTGCTCAACACTTTCGAATAATACGAGGGCAAAAATCTACGCTTTCCTTTGTTAATAGGAAACTCGAATTCTTTAATTTGATTGGGACCCCTCTCAACTAGTAGTTGACGAGTTTGAGATGACATGCAGAAATTAAGCCATAATGCAGGATCTGAAGGAATTTCTTATAATACCTGCTGACTGCCACTGCTAATGCGGCCCGGTTCTTGATGAACTTCTGATGATGTTATTTTTTGGATCTCTTCAACAATTTTTTCTGGAGTTGATTGGGGCGGCACTGTGTTTTTATTTCCAAATCCAAGGCAGTCGCAGTTGACGTGGATGTGCTGCCCGGCTGTTCATGAAGATCTGATGGTGTTAGTATTTGGCTCTCTTCAACAACTTCTTCTGGAAGTGATTGGGGAGGCACTGTGTTGTTATTTGCCAAATCAGTTGCTGCTGATGTGGATGGCTCATCTAAACCGCACTTTTGTACTAAGAATTTCTTCATAACATTGCTGAGCTTTCTTTCTTGTTCCTCATTCTTTAAGCGTTTCTTTTTGCAATGACTTCCAGATAATTTTTTTCTTTTTTGTTCCATGCTGACGATTGCTGTCACGACTGAAATAAATTTTTGTAAAAATTTTGTAAAATCTTTGTAATGTCATCATGTTTTTAACAGTTAAAAACATGATGACAATACAAAGTTAAAATTTAACTTGCAAAGACAGGCAAGCACAAACGTTTAAAAACGTTTGAAAACAGTATTTTGAAACATAATAAGAAAATAGTCCACGCTAATATGCGCTTCAAAACGTTTTTATTCATTATGAAAGGAATAGCAAAAGCGAATGCTAATTGAGGGAGAAATTTTTTTTTTATTTTTATAGAAAAATGTGGACAATGAAAAAACTTTTAAAGTGATAAAAACATTCACGAGTTTGGTAGTAATTAAAATTTAAATGAGTCCAGTTTATGATTTAGTACCTAATTATTATTGCAACCCTGAAATTGCATTTTGATTTCGCTACTTTGCCGCCCCTTAATGGTGCCGCCTGAGGCGGCAGCCTCTTTGTATCATAGCACCGCACGGCCCTGGTTCAAATGTAAAACTAATTCTTCACCAGTTTCTTTCCATGATTTGTATATGTCAAAAGATAAAAATTAATACTAATGCACATGAATAATGCACATAATTTCAAGTTCCATTGAATTACACCTGATGATATTACAAAAATTATAGGGTCTATAAATGAAAAAAAAAAGCAAGTGGTGAAATACCAACTTTTATGTTAAAATCTTACTTAATATACTTTAGGGATAGTCTTACAGATTGTATCAATAATAGCATCTTAGATGGAACATTTCCGTCATTTCTAAAAATGGCTGATGTTTTACCGTGTTTTAAAAAAATGACCCAACACATAAGGCTAACTATCGCCCTATAAGTATTCTACCTGCGCTCTCCAAAGTTTTTGAAATGATCGTTTATGAACAGATTTTGTTATTTATGGAGCCAAAATTTGACAAACTTTTGTGTGGTTTTCGTAGAGGTTATAGTACTCAGCATACACTTATTTTTTTACTTAATAAGAAGCCTGAATGCATTAACAATGGAGGTATTGTTGCAACATTATTAATGGATCTATCTAAAGCGTATGATTTCATATCGCATGACCTACTTATTGCTAAATTAGAGGCGTATGGTTTCTCTAAAGAAAGTCTTAAATTTCTTATATCGTATATTAGTGGTCGTAAACAAAGGGTAAGGATAGGACCATCTGTTTCTAATTGGGTTGATATTTTTTCGGGAGTGCCTCAAGGTTCCATTCTTGGCCCCATCCTCTTTAATATCTTTATAAATGATATATTCTTTTTTAATAAAGATACTGAATTGTGCAACTTTGCTGATGGTAATACGCTGTATGCCTGTAACTACAGCTTAAAAAAGGTTATTTTTCGATTGCAAAAAGAAGCAACTAATACCATTGCCTGGTTAAAGTTTAACTTGATGGTTGCCAACCCTGATAAATTCCAATTACCTTTAGTTGGTTTAAAAAACACAAAAATTCAATACCTAAAAATAGGTAATATAACTGTTTTTGCCTCTGATAAGGTGAACCTACTTGGTGTTACAAATGATAAGAATCTAAATTTTGGAGAACACATTAAATACTTATGCAGTAAAGCTAATGGTAAATGTTTTGCTCTTTCACGCATAAGAAGTTTTTTATCCCGTAATAAAGCTACATTGTTGTTTAACGCCTTCATAATGTCAAATTTTTCTTATATTCCCCTAATATGGATGTTTTGTTCCAAATACTATGACAACCTTATAAATAAAATTCATAGAAAAGCTCTTTGTATTGTCCATAAAAGGTTTGACTTATGTCTTGATGAATTGTTAAGTTTTGATAATAGTCCGAGGATCCACTTAAGAAATTTGCGCTTTCTTATGATAGAAGTTTTTAAATCAATTAATTGTCCAAATCCACAATTTATGAAGGATTTATTCAATACAAAAAACCTTTCTTTTAAACTTCGTTATAGCAAAAAAATGATTCTACCTTCAAATGGCTCCAAATATAAGGATCAATGTTGTACTATATTTAGAGCCATCTCGTTATAGAACACTCTAGATAACAAGACCATGTCCTCTAAAAGTTGTGAGGTGTTCAAAAAACATATTAAAAATTGGTATGCAAAAAATTGTTATTGTAAAATCTGCCGTTTTTAATTTCTATTTTTATTTATCCTGACATTATAATACAATATTTACTCATTTTTCTGTAATAAAACGGTGTAATTTGAATTTGAATTTGAATATTTTAATGTTATTTGTAAATTATATTATTATTTTGTAAATTTATTTTTTTTTTATTTTTTTATTTTTTTTTTGATTTATTTATTATTTTTTTTTTTTAACGATTTTCATGTGAGTGTGTATTGTCTATAAATGTTAAATGTGTTGATTTTAATTAGTTTTATTTTTGTTAAACTATTGTAACCATCAACAAAAAATAAAGTTTTTAAATTAAATTAAACTAAAAATAACAATTTTATTAAGCAACAAAAAAAAAAAAAAAAAAAAAAAAAAAAAAAAAAAAAAAAAAAAAAAAAAAATGCGCACCTTATCCACTCTTCGCCTACGTAAGATGATATTAGCTTGCTCAGTCTTGTTAATTCTGAGAGATATACGTCAACAGACTCTCTCTTTAAGACGGCAATTTATGAACTCTTCGTATGCTGTTAGCGGAGAAGCAGAGGAGGCAGTAGTCAGTGCAGTTTTCACTTCATTGTAGTCTTCTTTTATCTCATCATTTAGGCCTTCATAAACAGCAAACGCCCCATCAGAAAGAAATAAGGGGAGCACTACATGCAGCTCGTCAACTATCTATTCTGAAAAATCACCCGAACCATCGTATTGTGATACCAGATCCGCAAACTTCATAACGATACTCATTGTCGAAATAGCTTGTAACAATAAAATATATTTGTTTTTTCTTACTGTCTTTCTGAATATCTTTACTCAATATAAATACATTTGCAAATACCCTCGAGAGTATAATAAACAGTATAAACGTTATGTACAACGACGCGCCCACAAAATTTCTTCTGACGCAACACGTTAATAGTTTATATATAATACAATTATTTACACTAATTACATTAATTATAAGCACATAAACTTTATGCGCTTATAAATATCTCTATCATGACAAATGTACAAATATTTTCCAATGGTGTTTTTATGTTTTTAGAAATTTTAAAAAGCTTTTTAAAAAACTCTCTACCTATCGTTTGTTACAGTATGTAATATTTTTGTATATGTAATACATATATGTCCATAGTATTTTTAAATGTTTTTTTTTTTTTATTCTAGAAAATTAGAAAAAACTTTGAAAAAATATTTTTAGCAAAAGAATTTTAGGCCACGCGAAACACTCCAGCCACTTTAGCATGCTTGATTATCTTTTAAAACTGTCTATAAAGCGAAGACTTGTTAAACTTTATAAAACATTTATAGCATATAAATAATATAAATCAAAATTAAAAAGTTATTGCAGAAATGAAATTTTTAAGTAAAACTAAATCTGTAAAATTTGACATAACTAAAATAACTTGAAGCTTACAGGTTAGTTATTTGCATAGGCTTTCGTTCACTTAGATAAAAAACAAACGATAAAATGCAAATCATTTTCGGATGATAGTTTTAAAAAAAAAGCCAAATATTTTTGTGAAAAAAAATGATAATTCTATTAACATATTTATTAACGATTTAACATGTATTCACCCTCCCCTCCTAAGTAGTTGATTTTCAAGTTTCAAGTCGGGTCAACTTTGATTTTGAGGACCATGAGCCTTATCCGTTGAAAGCGTCCGAGTCCTTCCAATATTAAACAGACAGGCTTGGTTAGGAAGCGGGAGCAATCGCTCTCGAATACTGACCACGGAAATTATATTTAGTTGCGAAAAACTGGCCAGGTTTTTTAGTCGTTTTGAGAACATTTAAGTTTATTTACGAAACAAAAAATTTTTGTTTTACGGACATACATGAAAACACAAAAAACTTAAATGTTCTCAAAACATCTTGGTGCGAAAGAATAAAAAGAATATTTGCGAACACTAAATACCCAACAAATTAACGAACAAACTAATTCTATTGGTTTAAAAATACGCTGACTAAGCGAAATAAAATTTTGCAGCATTTTGTTGAAATGTTTTAGAAATTATATTATTCACGATTTGTTACGTTTTCAGATTTCTAGCATAAATCGTTTTAAAAATATATATAAATTGTTTACAAAAGTAAATGTTTTAATTATATATTAATTAAATTGTCAAAATTTTAAAAGTTTATTATAAATTATAGATTTTATTTGTACGTTCTTATTTTTTATTTAAAAAGTATGTATTTTTTATGTAAATGTAATTTTGTTGATCTGTTTTTAATCGTAATGTTTCTTTTAAAGCAATTTTTATGATTTAAACAAAGACTTACAAAAATAATTGCGTTTTTAATAAAGTTATGATCGTTAAAGTTAATAAAACTAATCATGTAACACATATAAGAAGTTATTAAACACAAACAACGCATACAAAGTAACTCGCGGATGAACAAGCACCGCGCCTGAGGTCACGACAG